CGGGGCGGGGCGGGCTTTTTGTCCGCGAAGCAATAAAAACCGCGTCTGCCCGTCGATGTCTGCCCGCGCCGCGTACACAAAGCACACGACGGGCAGAGGCAGTCGGTTCAGGACGTTCGTTCTAGTTAGGGCTGCTATCTCTAAAATGTGGCAACCAGGATAAGACGCGTGATAACCCCGAATTTTGGAGCCCAGAACCCGGACAAGACCAATAAAAAACGTAAGTTAAAAATATCACAAATCAACTTTTTTATGTTGATCTAGGCAAAAGAGCTAGCGGTCTACCTCATAATAAATGGTCACTGCTGCCCATGGACACTTGCAGCACCAAGGGCCATTCATGCGTTGCCGTAAATTTTTAAACCCGGACTACAAATAAAACCCCGCCCGGACGCTCCCCGGACGCCCCGTAAACTAGGACCAATCCGGGAAAACCCGGACGGATGGCAGTCCTAGTTCTAGTGTATAGTCGATCACTAAAAAGCGCGTGGCGCGGACTGAGCTAGCCGCCCCGCGCCGCCGTCTGCGTTACTGCATATAAACTGGTTTGTATGATCCACGGCGGGCAGCCGCGGACATGCCGCGCCGCCAGTGCCCGCCGGGCACCTGCGGCGCGGTCTTTTTGCCCTCTGTGTGCGTTTGTAGTATAAATTTCACTTTGTGCTTTTTTTTTTTTTTTTATGCTAAATAGGCAATGCGTTTGACCACAATCTCACTTGATGGAAAGCGATGATGAGGCCTAGGATGGTACACGCCTGCCTAGAAGATGCCTGTTCACTCTGGCCTTGAAGATGTCGATGTCGTGCTATCGTTCGCGGTGAAATTGACCGGCCCGCTCCGCCCCGCCGTCTGCAAGCGCCTAACATTTGATGACCTCCGTGGCCGAGTGGTTTGTACGCCGGGTTTCATGGTGTCACAGACTCGAGAGGTCCCGGGTTTGAATCCCGGTGGGGGCAGATGTTTGTGTGATGAATACGAGCATTTGTACTCCAGTCATGGATGTTTAATATGTATATGTAAATAAATGTATTAATATATGTATTCTATCCGTTACCTTAGTATCCCATAACACGAGATTTACAGTGCTTACTTTGGGGCTAGGCTAATTGGTGCGAGTGTTGGAAATATTATTGTTATTATTGTAATAATATAAAGGCGAAAGTTTGTGAATGTGTATGTTTGTTACTTCTTCACGTCTAAACGGCTGGAGCGATTTTAATAAAATTTAGTATGGAGTTAGCTGACATCGTGGATTAACATATAGCCTACGTTTTACTTCGGGAAAATAAACCGCGGGTAACACCGCGGGGCACAGCTAGTTATAATATAATAATCTCTTTATTATCAGACAAATCAGATCCATAATTATGTTCGTTAAAAGGTTGTATTTTCTACTAAGGGTTAGTAGCTTATAACTGGGTAAGTATTACATTTATCATCATCATCATCATCAGCCTATTAATGTTCTCACTGCTGGGGCACAGGCCTTCCCTATGGATAGAACAGGGAGATTAGGCCATGACCCACCACGCGGGCCTAGTGTTGATTGGTGGGTGCTAACGACTGCAGATGCAGCCAGGACCAACGGATTAACGTGCCTTCCAAGCACGGAGGAGCTCAAGATAGTAAATTTTTGGTCACCCATCCAATGACCGACCACTGCGAAAGTTGCTTAACTTCAACGATCGCAGTGAACGCGCTAGCCACCCGCGCCATCGAGCTCCTCAGTTAGTAAGTCAGTTAGTAAGAATCATTTATCATCACATAACATTTTTTTATTCAAAAGGTTATGTACCGTAAAGGCACCGTGTAGGGTCCCATCTATTGTTTTGTTGTTAGTAACATTTTATTGTTTCTGTTAAAAACTTTTAAAAGGGGAGCTTCATGTGATGCCTTAATTTATTTATAAAATTTTTGTAAGCCGGTGACATTTGCTTGAGCCTGATTTATTGACAAGTTCATCTTATATCTATATGTAACATTATCCATCTATATCGGGCAGTGATACAGTTTCTGTCGTTTAAACACACTGGTCAGCAAATAAATCGTTTCAATTCCTAATGGAATTCTAATTAAATTTTCTTTTATAAAACTTACAACTATCACAGAAAATACGTTCTATGCGGTAGACGAAATTTATTTTCTGTTGAGTGCATATGTTATGGGCCAAGTGATTAATGCCAGGGCAGTATTCATAATGCCAGGGCAGAAACCATAATTCCCAGCCATATAGGGCCAAGTGATTAATTACAACCAAAACTTACTTATTTATCACATTGCCCGGCCATTATTAATAATGCCCGACGGCTCATGGTCCATGTAATAAGTCAGTGTTTGAGATAGCTTGAATTTATTGCTTGGACCGGGCAGTATGAATAAATTCAAAACGTTGGTACTATTGTCAAAATGACAGATGTCACGCTATTTTGTGTTTGTTTTGAGATCTTTGTTAATAAAAATAGTATGGGCTCAACACTTAGAAAAAAAGGTAAATGTGGCTTTACAACAGTCTTTAATTCAGAACCGACTTGGTCAACCCCGACACACCGTGGTCTTGGTCTGCCCTACCTCTACAGTATTTTTTAGAGCCCGGAAGCGCAAGCGCAAAAGCCGCAAGCATCGTGCCACCCGTAGCGCCTGAGACTCCACCTCCGGCGGTGACCAACAAGCCGTAAGTATGAAGGAGAGTGATGCTTGTGACTTTGTCACGCAAAGGCGGAGGGGCTGCTATTCCCGCAGCGCCGGAGATAAGGAAGAAGTACTGGTTCTTACTTCCCTTTCATCCTAAAAAATAGGGAACTATAAATTCTGAACATTTAACAGATTTAATGAATTTTTGAAACAATTTACATTGAAACTACTATAGACTATAGTTTCTAAATGTAGCCCTTCGTAAATTGATCGTAGTAAAACCGAAGTCTGATTATTTAAATTTTAAAAATAAATAAAAAACTATAAAACATGTTTTTATTATTACTCTAGGCGATAATAATTTGGGCACTATTCATATTGCCCGGGCATTATGAATAATGCCCGATTAACCACTTAGCCCATAACACATATACGAGGTACTATGTGATAATTCAACTGTTTACTTAAAGCGGTTTATGAGACAACCCGTTGTCAGTCAAAAAGACAGCGGAGGCTTTGTTTCCATTTTTACTACCTATTTGAGTACGAAAGCCTAAAAACGGTGAGTACCTACATTCTCTATTTATACTTAAACATTATGTCTACGTAACTTATTACTTCAATATTACTTTAACGTAAGGCTCTGGAATAAAATGGCATTAGACAATAAAAGCGAAATGGATGTTTCTGTCTGTTCAGTTTCCACGTGTAAGCCGCTGAATTAATTTTGATATACTTAAATATGAAGGAAGGTTACCTACGTACGTAGCAGGTTTTATAAATGAGTGTTTTTTTTTACTATGGTTGGAATGATGTTCCATAAACAGTTTAAAACTTAGATAGCACACGCAGCCTTAGTGAAAAGTCAAGCTGACGGCAAGATCCTAAGGGGACCTCAAGCCAAAAATTGGCTATTGCTTCTAGAGGTATTCCAGGCGAATGACATGTCCCCACGGGGCGAGTCTCCTCTCCGTCTGGAGCCTCTAGACCACTCGAACCTGAGGGAGGGCGTTTGTGAGACTCGGACCTCGGCTCTAGTTAGCCGTTGTCGTGGGGGGCGGCCCTTCTTAGGGCCAAGGGGGGTAGGAGAGAGACGGAGAGAACTACGCTCTCCCTCTCACTCCTGCGAGAGCCGCGAGCCTGTCCGGGGGGGGGGGGGGGGGGCATTGCACAAGCTCTTAGGATGTCGTAGCCCCTGATGCTCCGGGGCATTTTCATCGGGGTGGGTCCGTTTGCGAACAAACACCTGGCGGGTGCGCGGCCATTCGGATACGGGAGCCGCGACCACATTCGCCCTCTCGGCATGCACTAGGGGGACCGCGGTCCTCATAGTGCGTGTCGGGTGACGGTGCAGGAGTATTGTCTGGTTTTTAGTGGCCCTGTTCAGGGCGTTAGGTAGGGCCCTGTTTATTTCACCCGACCACAGAGCTGGCTAAAATGAACAGGGAGGAGTCCCACATACCTTCTTCTCGCTCCCCCAGTGGTTGAAGGATGCGTAAAGCATTTCTCAGGCACAAAAAAAAGGGAAAAACGCCCAGGTACGTACCTGTACCTGGTATAGCCAGTGCCACCGCAGCTTATTCACGAGCACGGTTTTACCAAACCCAAACCGGCGCTTGCGTCGGTGTTGTTAACAAACCTCCATAGTGTCCCATTCCTAAATGATGGCTTAACATATTTCATCAAACTTAAAAGTTAGTTAACTTCTCTAAGCGCATCTGATAGTATAACTATTGTCATATTTTTTATCTTATAATGTTACTCTAACATTTATGTATTACCGTAACTTCCACACTCACAATGTTCACCTCCCGAGTTTTGTCAACATATTGTAATGCGAACCATTTAGAAAAACTTAAATATTAGGTCTTTGCGTTACGAGCTCAGCTCAGTGCAAAATCCACTGTTTAATTGTAAGCTAAGTTAAAATTTTGTATTGGTGAATAAATATATTTTTGTTTTTTTTTCTTTTGAACTTAGTGCAATTTAAATATTCGACGCGGTCCGTGAGGGCTGCGGTAGCATAATTGGTCAGTGCATTGGCCCGGATTGCGAAGGGTGCGGTTTCGAGTCCCGTCTGCTGCCTGGTCCGCGTGGATTTTTTTCTAATTACATTTTCTTTAGATTTAAACATCAAGCAGTTAAATGCTTTAAAAATAATAAAAATTATAACTTTAATTGCTATTTCTTCTTTCAAGTGTTTAATACTTGTAAAAGTATTCATTTGACATTGTGGGTTACCTATAATGCGAAGAGATGGCGCCACCTTGCAGCTTAAGAATGGCTAGAAGAATTTCGACGCGGTCCGTGATTTTTTTCTAGTTACATTTTTTTCTAGTTACATTTTCTTTAGATTTAAATATACTTACTTTAAATCTTCTGAGATTTTCTCCGACAAAAAGGTGTTCGTGTTACTTGATATGGAGTACTTTTTGTCACTGCACTCTACGAAGCATACCGGCTCACATTTCATTTCACTTTTCGATGTAGACACTGTAAAAAAACAGGGAAAATACAAGCGCATAATTTTGATAATTTAGTAAAAATTCTAAAGAAAATATAAGGCGAAATAATTCCACGCGGACCAGGTTGTAGGTAACCCACAATGTCAAATGAATACATTTACAAGCATTAAACATTTGAAGGAAGAAATAGCAATTGTAGTTATAGATAGATAGATAAATCATTTATTGCCTCCTCATAAATTTAAAATACACATTAAGAATTGTTTACTTAAGAAAGGATATTATACTGTCAATGAATATTTGAATGATAAAACGGCTTGGTTGTATTTTACCAGTAGATAATATTTCAAAAGTTATATTAAAACTAAGGCTCCCAGCCTTAGAAAGAGTTTTGGAGAGAACCTTGCACTTACTCCCTTTCATATACTTGTTCATTCTGTTTTGAAAATTGTTTCTTGCTATTTTGGGACTTTTCTTTGCACTTATTGTTAATAAATTCGTTGATTGTCTATGTTACATATTTGACATTATGTGATGGAAGTTGACCTCAACACATGTTTGCAAGTTTGATGTAGTTGACATCAATTGGACGACACTGTATGAAATAAAACAGGGAGAAAAAAGTAGCCCTTGCTGAGTTTCTTGCCGGTTCTTCTCAGTACAACGTCTCCCGTCGTAGATTTGCGAACCGATGGCGTAGCTTTTCGACATTCACAAGTGCTTGTAACAGCCTAGACTGAATAAACGATATTGAATTTTTTTGAATTTATATTCCCATCAGTACAGCACACAAATTTAAAGAAACAAATAGAAGAATTAATTACTAAATATGTAACTGTGTGCCGCAACGACAGAAAAAGGCAAGAATTCAGCGATACATTTGCTCTGAGAGCTAACCACTGGTTTTCAGTTCTGCCTAAAAAGCGCGTAACGATAAACGACACTGATATAATATACTGGTTATATATTTTATTTCTCCCGTCTGCCGCCTGGTCCGCGTGGACTTTTTCTAGCAAAAAAAAGTCTTTAGATTTAAACACCGAGCACTTACATGAAAGCCTCTAAATAAATTTTATTTAGACGCTTTCATTCTACGGATGTGCCAGCCTCATCGTACCCTAACCAAAATTTATACAATGCTAATTTAATATACATTCAGAGAGAGAAGGCGAGCTATTCTTACTAGCGAAAACCATATCAAATATCGACTTTGATGCGTCTGAGTTAGGTAGACAACGATATTAAAAACTCTAGATACACCACGAGCGCTCAAAATGTGTCCCAATCAAAAAGTGCTTGAGTGGAGTTCAACTTGAACTCCACTCAAGCACTTCTTGGTTCACAGTCACGCGCGGACCGTTACAAAGTCAAGATGCCACAGAGCTCCGCGAAAAAATGCGAAAATAATACTTAGAGTACGAAAAGTGTCGTTTTTTTGACAGGTATCTAGTCAATGTTTGTTAATTTAACGCATTTGAAGTAAATTTTGATCTAATACTTACTATAAACTGATTTAATATAAAATATTTGTGATATTCAAATGGTCGGTTATACGTTGCCATATAGCCATCTCTTTTCGTCGCGGTTCGTTCCAACTATATTGCTAACAACGCGTTCAGAATTGCGCGTAGAGGCAAAGAACTAAGGTCTAAATTCTTCCGCATATAGCAATAAGTCGTAAAATTTTACGAGGTTGCATTTCAAACTGTCAGAAGTCCTTGACACATGCGTTTTATTTAACACATACAGTATGTATGAAAGGTTACTTTCAATATTTAAATAATGCCTTATATTGATTATGACTACGCGATCAGCTTACGGAGCTCCGTGGATCGTTCAATGTATCTTTTGGACAGGTTTCAGGCACGATTTTGTTCGTGTTGGTGTATCTAGGATATTTAATATCGTTGTAGGTAGTGCTAAAATTTCCACAAAGGAACCCATGTTCCCAAAGATAAGTCAATATTTTTGATCGATTGATCCCACTGTATCCTACACTGCTAGTAAACGGAATTCATCATTTCGCAATCTACATAATACTTGACGAAAGGACAAGGCAGTTTTTGGGTTACGATAAAATAACTGAAAACTACCAGCAATTTTAGCATCTAGATTTTTATGTTTTTATTTTATTTTTAAGCATTTTACTGCTAGATGTTTAAATCTAAAGAAAAGCTTACTAGAAAAAGAAAACACGCGGACCAGGCAGCGGACGGCGGACGGGACTCGAACCCGCACCCTTCACAATCCGGTCGAATGCACTGACCATTATGCTACCACATAACTAGAATTGCTATTTCTTCTTTCAAATGTTTAATACCTACTTGAAAAAGTATTCATTTGACACTGTCGGTTACCTACAATGCGAAGAGATGGCGCTGCCTTGCAGCTTAAGGCTAGGAAAATTTCGACGTGGCCAATAGGGCCGAGGTAGCATAATGGTCAGTGCATTCGCCCGGATAGCGAAGGGTGCGGGTTCGAGTCCCGTCCGCTGCCTGGTCCGCGTGAATTTTTTTCTAGTAAACTTTTCTTTAGATTTAAACATCTAGATTTTTTTTTATTCGTGACCCTTTTCACCCATCTTTTGTAGTTTATCTAGCATACAAGTACCGAACAGGCTGATTATCAGAGATTTTATCAGCAAGTGGTAAAACCGGTCCCTTAAAAAAAAGCCTTTTTCACAGGCAAAATGCGATCGCCACTCCTCTCGATTATGTTAATCCCGATGTAAAAATTCCAACACGAACGAATATAAGATGGAAATTATTCTGACCTGTCACATTATGAAGGCACTTCAAGTCTTCCAGTTCGCAGACGCGAAAACGTTTATCTGTAATAATAAAAAAAAACAGCGTGTGTACAGAGTACGCATGACAGAATGGAAACGAAATTTCATATTAATTTATAAAAAATATGCACATATATTAACATCATTACATAATTTTATTTACACTATACACTGCAGGCACAATTTTTAATTACACTACAGGGTCGCGTAGTGTATATATTCTGTGGCCGCGGTAGCATAATTGGTCAGTGCATTCGGCCGGATAGCGAAGGATGCGGGTTCGAGTCCCGTCTACTGCCTGGTCCGCGTGGAACTTTTTCTAGTTATATTTTCTTTAGATTTAAATATCCTATCCTATTAAATAATAAAATAAATAGGAATTTTATAAATGCAAAAGTGTGTGCTAATAGTTTATTATAAAATGTTTGTTAATATTTCACGCAAAAACAGGAAAGTCACTCATATAGTTTATAACCTGGATTGAGACAAAGGATAGGTTTTATCGAAAATAAAAATTGGTTCCTGTAGGATTCTTAAAAAGCTAACGATAACGCGGAGAAATCACAGGCGGCCGCTAGTCAGACAAAATGCCAATGCGCCTGTTTCCCAGATGATTTTGTATTGTTGACAAACAATTGTACCGCTGCCCAAGGAGTAGGGAGAAATCAAGCGCCACTGTGGCGGTGACATCTTTATGCCCCACAGATATACAATGAATGTAGGAAATCATTACTCACCATCCTCAAGAGATGGCGTTACCTGCACTGCGATCAATATTAGTATGGAAGCCTACATCGCGCAAATGAAATTCGGAGGCTAACTCTTCATATACACGATGCCCGACCAACATCAGTCGGGCCGTGGCCCCCGAGCTACCATCATCCAGCTCGGAAGAAGATCTTCCCCTTTGGCCTTCCAAAAGCCACTAATATTGTAAAGCAATCTAATCACTTGTGACTCGTCCGAAATGTATTAATATCTGTTATTCAGCCACCATGATTGCTACTTTGAACTAAAAAGCTTTTTACTCACGGTATGAATGACAGAGTCATAATGGTGACATTGCCCGGTGTTCCGAAACTTGCGTAGCTAGCATTTCCGCTGAGTCAGCGTCTAAACACTCCAAAGCTAGCGCGTGATCAATGGTTGGAAAATTCCCTATCCCAAAACGGAATACAATGAGACGAGCAACACCGCCCCGCGTCAACGCCAGACGAAACTTGTGTCACGAAATAGTGTCAAGACAAATGTTGATTTATTGCTACGGGGGCGAACCTGCCTGTTGGACTGCGAACGTTTTACTGAATGACATTACACGAATTCCTGAAAATATTTCTACTTGTCGACTTTTTGTTTATGATCCTTGTTGTCCTTTTATTCAAACAAGGCGCACTGAAATCTTAGATTAAAACAAAAAGGGTAGATACGGTACTAGTCTCACAAAAGTGATCCGCATGAATTGTGGTCCACGACCCTAATCGCTTTAGTCACAACTTGACATGCCAACGACGTACATGTGAACGCCAAAAAGAAATATTGCTAATATTTTGTGTTTATATGATGAAACAATGCCTAAGTGTGTTTTTAAAAAGTGCTCAAGAACTAAAAATAAAACCCACGGCATCACTTTTCATTCGTAAGTATTATAAAATATATTTTTTCATAAAAAATGCGTCAAGTACTGGTCGCGTGATTGGTCGGCAGTGCAGTGACGCGGATCTCGCCGTCTCGTTCGCGCTGCCGTTGAAACTTAACGTGCTGTTTCGTTCGGGTCGGTAATGCAGTGACGCGGATCTCGCCGTCCCGTTCGCGTTCAGTTTGTTTGAAGCAACTATGAGCCTACCGTATCTAGCCTTTTTGTTTTAATCTAAGGCTGAAATACCCGAAAATATAACACTAACTTAAAAAATAAATGTGCCACTTTAGCTATCCATGCTTTGCTGAACTGGCAACACTGAAAACCTTAATTTCCACAGAATACATCACTATCAAAAAGTTGCTTCATTGCGTTTTCTGTGAGATGAAGGTTGCTTTACCCAAGTTCACTACAATTTCAGCAGAATTTCTATTATACCCTTCTCTTAAATTCACAATACAATTGACACCCTCGAGAAAATTCGAAACATGGCCGATCAGGACTCAGCTCTCTAATGCTAATAGGGGTCAGAGCTCAAAGCATTCACCCGGAAAGCAAAGGGCGCTGGTTCCTGTCTATTATTTGGGTTGAATTGCTTTTTTTCTATTTAATATTCTTTGGATATAGAAATTTAGCAGTTTATTACCTAAAATTTATATATGGTAAGGATATAATTTTTATGTTTTAAGCATATAACTGCTTGATGTTTCAATCTAAAGAAAATATAACCAGAAAAAATGCCACGCATACCAGGCAGCAGACGGGACTCGAACCCGCACCCTTCGCTATCCGGGCGAATGCACTGACCAATTATGCTACCGCGGCCCTGATGGCCCCGTCAAAATTCTTCTAGCCATTCTTAAGCTGCATGGCAGCGCCATCTCTTAGCATTGTAAGTAACCAACAATGCAAATGAATACTTTTACAAGTATTAAACATTTGAAAGAGGAAATACCAATTTAAATTATATTTTTTATATTTTAAGCATGTTACTGTAACAGTATTCATTTGACATTGTGGGTTACTTACAAGGCGAAGAGATGGCGCTGCCTTGCAGCTTAAGAACGACTGGAAGAATTTCGACGCGGCCATCAGAGCCGCGGTAGTATAATTGGTCAGTGCATTCGCCCGGATAGCGAAGGGTGCGGGTTCCAGTCCCGTCTGCTATATGGTAAGGATGCTGAAAATGGTGGCTCAATGCCGATTGTAACATCAGCTGTCTTCACTACATAACATTATGAATTTTTATTATTTTTTAAAGCATGTAACTGCTTGATGTTTAAATCTAAAGAAAATATAACTAGAAAAAATTCCACGCGGACCAGGCAGCAGACGGGACTCGAACCCGCACCCTTCGCAATACGGGCGAATGCACTGACCAATTATGCTACCGCGGCCCTCACGGACCGGACATAACATTACTTACACTGACACATCATCACTGAAAAGACAAGAACCGACACTCAATATGGTGGCTTAAGGCAAATAGAGGGAGGCTACAACGGGGGATAAAATTTGATCGTTTATTGCGTATTATTGAAATCTAGCTAGCTCATTATCATCGTAGCTGTTTTCGAGTCCACGCATTTGTTTACGGAAAATACTACATCGGTAATGTGATAGCCAGTGCATGCCGTTTAAGCTTAATTTGTTTTATTTTTTGTCTAGTAACCATAAACATTTTTGTCCTTTTTTAATGCTGATTGAAATACTTATTATAATTATGTTTTTATTTATTTTTAAGCATGCCTGGTCCGCGTGGATTTTTTGACGTGACAACGTCTTAAATTAGGTTGCGGCTGGGAGTCACTTATGAAAAAGTGTAACGCTCGGTAACGTTACGATGAGTCTCTCGTGTTAAGTTTAAGTTTACATGTACAATGTTTTAGTAAACAAAATATATTTCTATAGTTAAAATTTGTGCAATTCTTATTTTCATTCAATTCCTTGTTCCTATTGTGCAATTTAATTATATTCATATCAATAAATATTCTACCGAGAAAAAGACGTTGTCACGTAAAATCTTCGCCCGTAAAACCGACTTTACAGGCAACCATTTTTTTTTTCTAGTATACTTATTATAATCCTCAAAATTGCCTGCTTTATATATGCATTTGCTTTTCTTTATTTCTTTCATGCGGTTGTTTTACAGTCCCAAAATAGTATTCTTCTAAGAGATAGTGAATTACGGAGTTCGATGGCTCAAGTGGTTAACGCATTCTTCTAAAGTTAAGCACCTTTTGCAGTGGTCGGTCCCAAGTGATCAAAAATTTAGTATCTCGAGCTCCTCCGTGCTTCTGAAGGCACGTTAAGCCGTTGGTTCCGACTGCATCTGCAGTCGTTAGCACTCACCAATCTGCACTGGGTCCGCGTTGTGGGTCATGCCTAATCTTCCTTCTCCATCCATAGGGAAGACCTGTGCCCCAGCAATGGGGACGTTAGTATGCAAAAGATGATGATGCAGAGATAGTGATATAGGAATGATCGATATTAGAAAAACATCGATGTTGACATCGATGTTAACATCGAATCAAATGTGTCGATGTACGATAAATATCGATAGAGAAACATCGGTATGTCTAAAACATCGATGTATTTGGAAACAAATAAAACTGTCTATTATATTTATAAAATGTTTTTATTATTAGAAAATGACATTAAATTTAAACGCCCGCTCTTCCTGAGACATGTAGAAATCACAAAAATAATAAGAAAAATTAACGTTCCCAGCATTTTTAGGGACACTGTAAAAAAATTAACTTTGATAAGTGTTAATCCTTTTAGTCTGTTCCGTTGCTGGTACAGAAGCTGACCATTTAATTGAAGCTAGTACACCTAATGCAAGCTAGACGGCGCCCCAAAGAATAATTGACGTTTCGATACTTTTATTCTAGTAACAACGATGTTTCGATGATATCAAAGTCAACCCATCGATGTTAAAACATCGATGTTTTCCAGTAAAACATCAATATTTATACAACATCAATGAATATCGATCATCCCTGATATCTAATGCTAGCCATACACACTACGAGAAATCGTTACGATCAGACTGTACAGTTCGAACGGAACAGTTTATCGGACGTGGCGTACGTATAGGAAACTGTGCAGTTTTATAACATCTTCTTCTTCTTCATCGTCGTTTCCTCATGGCTGAGGGTCGTGACCTTTCAGGACAGCACATTTCACCAACGATCTCCAGACCGTTCTGTGTTCTGCAAGGCGGATGGACGCCTGCAAGTTGCCATTCGTAGTTTCTTTAACTATGTCCAACCACCGGGATGGAGACCTGCCCCTACTCCTCTTGCTCTCCACGTTTCCCACGACCAGAAGCTTTTCAAAATTATCCGGGCTTCTCCTAGCTACGTGACCGAAGTATTTTAGGAGGCGCTGCATGCAGACAGAAGAGAGACGCGTCTTGATACCCAGCTCCTTCAAGATAGATGCTCGTAGTGTGTATGGCCGGTATAACAGTGCATACTTACTTCGAGGATATTTGTAAGGCACGCAGTTGCAGCTCCTTTGATACGTGGCCATCTTACATTCACTGGTGCAAGTCTCAGTGCTGTATCGATCGGTCGATCCCAATGGTACCTCGTCGTGAAACCAGCAGTTTCGCTTCTGAACATCAACCCTATGAGTAAACAGCGTTTGAGGTTTAAAATATCTTTATTATTCACAAAGACAAACATTGCCACTTATGTGATAACACAATTTCACTTAAAGCTAGGTTATACATTAGTTAGGTGAGGTTCGTCGTCGTCATATTAAATGTAGGTAGGTACACATAATAATAAAATAAGTAGTAAGAATATCTAGTGTAGTAGTACCTAATTGTGATAATTATATGTAAATATGTAGGTATAAGTTTACAAATTTAAGTTTTGTACATGTTAGGTAGGTAGATATTATAAAAATTGTAGTCATTCTAATGTAGTAAGTAGTAATAACATAGATCTAAAGAAAAGTTTACTAGAAAAAAAAATCCACGCGGACCAGGCAGCGGACGGGACTCAAACCCGCATCCTTCGCAATCCGGGCGAATGCACTAACCATTATGCTACCACAGCCCTATTAGCCGCGTCGAAATTTTCCTAGCGTTAAGCTGCAAGGCAGCGCCATCTCTTCGCATTGTAGGTAACCCACAATGTCAAATGAATACTTTTTCAAATATTAAACATATGAAAGAAGAAATAGCAATTATAGTTATGATTTTATTTATTTTTAAGCATTTAACTGCTAGATGTTTAAATCTAAAAAAAAGTTTACTAGAAAAAAATAGGGCCGTGGTAGCATAATGGTCAGTGCATTCGCCCGGATTGCGAAGGATGCGGGTTCGAGTCCCGTCCGCTGCCTGGTCCGCGTGGATTTTTTTCTAATAAACTTTTCTTTAGATTTAAACATCTAGCAGTTAAATGCTTAAAAATAAATAAAATCATAAGTAATAACATAGGTTAAAGAATGTAGGTACATGTCACCATTCTATACATTCAATAGGTAGTAAGTTTATTTACACCTATATTTTGAGTTGGAAGTATTCAGCTAATTTAATTCAGCTAACAGCTTTAATGCAAAGATCATAATGATCGATTGAGATATATAATTAAGTATCTATAGTTATTTATTAAGCAGTAAGGGAAGAATCTCTAATCGTCCATGCACCTAATTAAGTCATTTTAATTATAAGTCATTTTTCAACTTGGCGACTCTGTATATTACAATCATCATCATCATCAGCCTATTAATGTCCCCACTGCTGGGGCACAGGACTTCCCTATGGATGGAATAGGGAGATAGGGCCATGACCCACCACGCGAGCCCAATGCGGATTGGCGGGTGCTAACGACTGCAGATGCAGCCGGGACCAACGGCTTAAAGTGCCTTCCGAAGCACAGTGGAACTCGAGATAGAAGATTTTTGGTCACCCATCCAATGACCGACCACTGCGAAAGTTGCTTAAATTCAACGATCGCAGCCGAACGCGCTAACCACTTGCGCCATCGAGCTCCTCATATTATAATACAGGGAGAGAAAAACAGCCCTTGCTGAGTTTCTTGCCGGTTCTTCTCAGTACAAGGTCTCCCGCCATAATTTTGCGAACCGATGGCGTAGTTTCTTGACCTTCACAAGTGCTTGTAACAGCCTAGACTGAATAAATGACTTTTCATTTCATTTCATATTACCGGACGGGCCTCACCAGGAGGACTGACGATCTGGGCCCCAATTCTCACGGCGTAGATATTATATTGTCTTCGAGATAATACCGAAAGTAGGGATATCCATTGAAAATATCTACTGATGGTAAAAAATGCTATTCTCGTGGATTTTCGATATTCCAATTATATTATATCTATCGTAGATATTCTTTCACTGACGAATGCGTTCCGTTTTGCTCGATTAAGTTAACATCAAAGTCTATATAAAATAATAATAAATTAGAGCAGAATTTTACAAGCAACAAAATGATATTTTATGAATTCCATTCATATTAAATATGAGTATACATTTTTTGAGTATAAGAAATCTCAACTTTACCTAAATTGTATGCGTATATAATTTCAACGTTAAGTATAATGAAACGTCAATATTATTTAAGATTCTCCCTTTTCAGGGAAGGCAAAGGGAACTATGCCCATAAAGCCTAGTCTTTAGTTACATTAATCTTCTTTTTTTTACATTCGAATGTCGGTGTGACGCATTCTAATATTTCTTGGAGTGTTTGGCACGAAATTTATGGAGTTGGCTTTTTCTCTAAGCTTCTGTGAGGTAGTCAACACTACAATAAAGTTCTCGCTTTATCCACTTTATCGGAATAGCGTATATTTTAAAGATTCCACTAATTCTTCAGTTGCGCAGACGGTTGTAACACCAAATCACACCAATTTTATTTCACAATATCCACTATGAACGAATTTTAGAATAATTAAAATAAGATGCCAACCGCACTCGCAGAAATCCCGCCAAAACTCCGTATCGTCAATAAGAAAATGGTATCGATTCTGGCATGATTCTGTAAACCTTAACGTAAATTTGACAACAGTGTATCCTTGTCATTCTCCATACAGAATGAAAAGGAGAGACTGATGTTAAATTTAGTTTTAAGTTTAGAGAATCGTGTCAGAATCGATACCAATGTCATTCATAACTTTAAAGATTTCTAACCAAATTTTTGTTTAAACGTAATTTTTTTATGAAGTCGGCGTCCCTCATTTCAAATGGGTCCTCTTGCTCTCACAACGGCGGCGCCTTAGCACAGCAGCAGCAATCACGTCATTTATTAAAGCATTGACGAAAACATGAATCAACTCATCCATCGTTAATATAAACTGGTGTCGATTCTGGCTCGATTCTCTAAATCTAAACTTAAACTTGACAACAGTGTTTCCTTGTCATTCTTTATACAGAATGAAAAAGAGAGACTGATGTTAAATTTAGTTTTAAGTTTAGAGAATCACGCCAGAATCGACACCATTGTTTACCTACTTCTTTATTTACCAATTATTTATGAAGGCAGTTAACAACATCTTGAGGTAACAATAATTGACAAAGACACACGACAACACAATAAATAATAGGTAAAAAAAGTGGAAATAACAAGATTGACATGCCAAGATCCATAGATATTTATATATCGAAGGCTCTTCACCAGTCGATGTATGTCTACTGATCATCCGTAGATAAATATCTATTGCGACATGGTGAGAATAGGGCAAAAAGGTTTTCCTTCGATAAAAGCCAGATCATTCGATATATATCGAAGGTGATATAATATCTTTGCCGCGAGAATTGGGCCTATGGACTATGCAATCACTTCCACCGTCCCCACTACCACAATCTGGTCATCTTCAAGGCCAGAGTGAACAGGCATCTTCTAGGTAGTGATGTAACGAATGTAATTTTTTGAACATTCGCGAATGCAAATGCGGATGCGAATGTCTGGTACCGACATTCGCGAATGCGAATGCGAATATTTAGTTTTTTTTTAAATTGGCGCCAATTGTCTATGGCATGGTGGCAGTCTCGTTCGAATTGCCGAGTTGATTAAACTCATCCGACTGAAGTGTCATTCCGCTCGCACCGGTCTTTCCGTAAACAAAACAAGTGAATTTTGAGGTTAGTGATTGTGAGTGGTAATAGTGATTTATTAACATGAGTAAATCGAATTCTAGTGAAACATGGACTTATTTCACACTTTGCGATGCTGAGCGAGCTAAATGCAAACTGTGTAACAATGGATATTAAAGGAAAGGCAGAACTACAACTTCTTCAAATTGTTTTTTTCTAATATTCATATTCGCAAAACATTCGCAGAGATTTTGCGAATGCGAATGTGAATGCGAATATCCAAAAATATGCGAATATTCGCGAATGCGCATGCGAATATTCGTTACATCACTACTTCTAGGCAGGCGTGTACAATCTTAGGCCTCATTATCGCTTTCCATCGGGCGAGATTGTGGTCAAAAGCCTAGCCTCTTAAGCATTAAAAAAAAATATCTCCGCACCACACTCCTATTAGTCGATCCTATAAGTTCATGTCACCAGTTGATGTGCCTGTGATGTGCTTGTGACACTTTTTATAACAATAATCGACGGAGGAGCTAGATGGCGCAAGTGGTTAGCGCGTTCGGCTGCGATCGTTGAACTTAAGCAACTTTCGCAGTGGTCGGTCATTGGATGGGTGACCAAAAATTACTATCTCGAGCTCCTCCGTGCTTCGGAAGGCACGTTAAGCCGTTGGTCCCGGCTGCATATGCAGTCGTTAGCACCCACCAATCCGCACTGGCCTCGCGTGGTGGGTCATGGCCCAACCTCCCTATTCCATCCATAGGGAAGGCCTGTGCCCCAGCAGTGGGGACATTAATAGGCTGATGATGATGATGACGAATCGACGGTCAATTCGAACGGATGGAAAAGATTGCGGGAAGGTTATGGATGTGAGTTGTGCAGGACTGTCGAGGTGAAGATCCTTGCGGGAGGCCTATGCTCAGAAGCAGTTGTTGGCTGAGATGATGGTGAAAAATTAATTAAGTAAAACTAGTTTTTACGGGTTAATGCACGAAAACTTTATTTATTTATTGACGTTTCGCAGCCTTTTCAGGTCTGCATCGTCAGAATAATGATTTTATTTAAAATTGTCGAGCTACCTTCGAAAGAATTATATTGAGCGTTCGGTTATTTCATTGGAAGATTTTTAAAATTTTATTGTCTATGTATGAATTTATTATTTAATTTACTTAATAAAGTATTTTATTTAAAATTCTTGTTTGTAATTTTGAGTTTATTTATTTGACCCTACCTACCGTAAACTACCACCGGTTCCAAAATTGGGAGACCTTCCTGAGAAGAAATTCAATAAATAAATAAAGTTTTCGTGCATTAACCCGTAAAAACTAGTTTTATTTAATGACTGATGTGCGTGAAAACCTAAGAAACAAATAAATTAATTAAGTCTCAAAATATTTTGTGAATATCATACCTTCGTAAAGCATTCTCTGTCTGAAAGACCATGGGGTCGACTTTGATGTCCATACTCTCGCCCATTGCCAGGTATCTGTATTTCACATTCGCTTCTGGATAATCGTTGGGGTCAGTAATGAGAATCTGTGAACAATTAAAAAAAAAATACCTATAACAAAAGTTTCATATACAAACAGAGTAAAAATAACTACAATTTCTATTCTAAACTAAAGATGCAAAAAAACGTTGAAGTAAATTTTTTTTGGAGTATGTTTTTTTTTACTGGTACAAATTGAGGAGCTCGATGGCGCAGGTGGTAAGCACGTTCGGCTGCGATCGTTGAAGTTCAGCAACTTTCGCAGTGGTCGGTTATTGGATGGGTGACTAAAAATGTTCTATATCGAGTTCCTCCGTGCTTCAGAAGACACATTAAGCCGTAGGTCCTGGCTGCATCTGTAGTTGTTAGCACCCGCCAATCCGCACTTGGCACGCTTGGTGGGACATGGCCCAATCTACCTATTCCATCCATAGGGAAGGCCAGCAGTAGGGGCATTAATAGGCTGATGATGATGATGATGACAGAATTCAAAATTATTAAGGAAGTTTCCGTTAATGCTTATGAGTTTAAATAATAAAAATAAATCTTTATTGTGTATGGAACAGGGTAACATGAAAATACAGGTCTAAATACTAAAGTTGTCTGTCTATTTTAAAACCTACCACACATTTTTGATTGAAAATTACCAACCAACCTTCTAACAAATATGGGAAATAGATTAAAAAGAAACAAATTTAGAAAAGAAACAACGGGCCTAAGTTTTTTTTTTTTCAAAATAGTGAAAAACACAAAGTTGTTATTACATCACTATTCTATGAACTGATGGCATTTAAGCAAATATAGATATTTTTGTATAACAGAACTTCTTCTGTTATACAAAAATATCTATATTATTACAGTTCATAAATAAGTGACACTGTAAAGGTCATCTGCGATCAACAGCATATACACTCAAAAAAAAAATGGGTGCGTGTACTTATGTAGGCGCGTGAGAAGTTATCCTTCTTTGGCATCGTTTAAAATTAGTTTTTAATTGCATGCAAATAATTAATTACAATAAATTAATAAAAAGTCTGGAAAAGGACACAGTCAATAAAGTTCAGTTTTAATTTGAAAAAATAAATAAATACTCAAAATATTCAATTAAAATCGCTACTGAATATAATTTATTAGAACATATGTGATTTGCACTTGTATGAAACTCAAACACGTATTCCGAATATACAAACTAGAAACATGTGGATAAATATTATAAATATGAATACCCATAACTGTTACTTTATTACAAAAAATAAAGATGTGGTTTTTGGTTCTACTACACCAATGGTCAAGAGATGGCGCTGTAGTCTCCTGAATCGCGCTTTGGTTCCGTTGTTCCAGATTAATAAATACTTTTGATAGGCCTTCACAATGCAGTCGTTAGCACCCACTAAATAGAGATTCTTTTTCTAATTTGTTGGTAGATTTTCTTAATGTGCGGTAAACACAAAAGTAACAGCATGAAGTTGGTCGCTCTCATATTTCACTCTCATCATTTTTTCATAACGCGCCTAAAGAAGTATAACTTCAAAAGGTCACTTCGATTCTAATATCGATCGGGTCGCGACTTAAATTACTTAGAATTAAAATTGTGATTCTCCTTGCATCCGAAATTAAAGTTAGTATTTAGTAAAATTAAATTGTTTTTGTTTGAGACTTCCTAACTGTATTGTGTAATCTGTAACGTAATTCGTTTGTATGTTATTCATAATATACTAGCTGTCCACACATAGTACAGTCAATCTGTCGAAAAAAAAATCGTTTCAGTGAAAAAAGACCTAAAGGATAAGTCTTATTTTTCTGTTGCCAAATGACGTCAGTAAGCCACCTTGGCGATGGGCATGTTCAACTCGTAGGCGTTTTTTGAAAAACTCAAAAAACCCTCAAAAAATTTTTAACCATAATTTTTCGACCATAATTGGAGAGGGCGTTGATTACTACAATTTATGTCATTGTTGCAATCTCGTACAAGACTTAACCTTTAGGTTTTTTTACACCACTCAACCTACAGATTGACTGTACTACACATGGCTTTAGCCCATAACTCCGTTTTAAGTCATCAAGGAATAAATTAGTTATTTTAATTAAACACAGTGAGGCAAACTTTACCAAGATAAGTTAAGTAGTTTCCGAGTTTATCTAAGACACACATCGCGACATGTGGTTTACATAAACTTAAGTATATACAACCAAGAGGTTAACTTACTGTCGCCTTCCGTAAGGTTAATTAATTATTAGGGATGCTGGTTGTTTACTCAGTATAGTTATGTTTTTATTAAAATTTTAATAAATAGTCAATTAAAAACTAAATTAGATTGAAAGAAACCTTCTTTCGTTCGTAAGATTGTAACGTTCGTTAATTGCTTTGTAAATGTTCTAACACTGTATATTCAATCTAACGCGTTGCGTCAAAGCGTGCTTTGTAAACAAGACCTCGCAGAAGGCGTTCGCGGGAGGAATGCGCCCGGGGGGGGGGGGGGGGGGGGGGGAGCTCGCGTCGAAAGACAATTGTTGATACGAACGGGCTGTGTCATTGGAAGCTAAAAATTGAGTTACAAGTCATTCTTCCTTGTTGCAATTTCTAACGTTTTGTTTTTTTTTTGGCTTATCAAAGCCATCCTCACCCTGCCGGCCTGCATGTTGCTTCTTCACGCCTCTTTTAAAGGATCCCAGGTTGTAAGAGGGAGGGAACACGTGAGCGGGCAGAGCATTCCATTTACTTTCTTTGTACGCGTTGGAATTGTAGCCACAGTTAGACGGTGACAACGTAAGCCAGCGCGCGTGGTCCTCTGAAGGAAAGGGGAAGGTGGAATAAGAGAGAATAACTCCGCAGAACACTTGCCGTGGTACAGACGATAGAAAGTGCTTAGTGACGCCACGTCACGACGTAATTGAAGAGGCTCGAGATGTTTAGTCACCTCCTCATCGCCTATGATGCGTATTTATCTTTTTTGTGAAGTTTTGATTTCCATAATAATTAATGCTGGTGCATCCCATACTGGGAACTACGTACGGGTGTCTCGATCCGTGAAAACCACTAGTTGAGGGCTGACGAAGATCAGACTGTCGGGTAGGTAGCCGTGGTAGCGGGGATCTAGACGCTGCACCTAACCGGGGAGTGCCGCTCCAGTGAATTCTCTGGCTCCAACCTCCAACCTACCTACGACCCTGGTCTTTGTACAACTTACATATTTTCTTGTAGTATATTGTATAGTAATCTTAATTTGTCGTTTTATTTAGTGCAATCCTAAATTTAAACCGTGACAAGATAAATTTAAAAACCATGTCTTTTGAACTTTGGATCTATTGGTTTAATACAACAGTATAATAATGTCTTTGAATTCAACAATATAAAGAATACGACAATATTTTTCACGTTACCAATAGCCTATTGTTAGTCTAGAATACTGAACGGGACCGTCGGGTTATCAAATGCTTTCCTATTGACCTTTCAACAAAGGTTTAACCTTTGAACGTTAAGGGCTTGTCCGCAATGCGATAATTCACCGCGCGATTTTCATTCCACGTATTAAATTTCAGGTCTCAAAATAGCAGTTTTATTCAAGCAATTTATTGCTCCATTTTATTTTATTTATTCTGATAAATCTATATTTATTATATTTCTTATTTTATATTTATATTTTATTATATGAACCTATGTCGGATATCAGTGAATACTGTTCAGCAGAGGATGGTAACTCGTCTTTTTGCTCACTCAGCGACGACTTTTCGTTTGATAAAGTGGTTTATTTGGGCTCTCTCGTTTTGAAAGAATTCAGTGCCACTGTCACTGAAACTTTGAACGTTTGCCACATTAATGCTCAGAGTATTCCTTGCCACTATACAGAACTACTAAACACTTTCACGCCCAGATCTGTAATCCATGATATTCTGATTTCGGAAAGTTGGCTGTAGCCCTGTTTGAGCTCAGTGTCTGTTGACCTACCAGGTTTCACGCTTATCCGAAATGATAGAATAGGTAAGGGTGGAGGGGGAGTCGCCTTTTATTTATCTCAGGCTATCCCTTATAAGATCTTGACATCCTCTTCTTCCCGTTACGATTGCATGGAATATTTATTTTTAGAAATTGACGTTAAATATACTTAAGTATTGCTTGGTGTTATTTACAGCCCCCCTTCGGTCCCTTTCTTAACAGATCTTGAAATTCTTATCGATAACTTTTCCTCAGATTACAATCATCACATAATCATGGGCGACTTTAACACGGATCTTTTAAAAGATTCTCTTTCCTCACGAGGTTTCCGATCAATATTTGAGTCTGTGAATTTCTCTATTTTACCGCTTGGTCCTACTCATCATAACATCATCACTCATGACTCATGGATTGACCATATTGTAACATCCTCCCCAGACCATGTCTTGAAACATGGTCAGCTGTCTGCACCGGGGTTTTCGAAACACGATCTAATTTTCTTAGCATTCAAATTGAAACCCCCTAAAGCTAAGCCGGCTATAGTACACATTACAAATTTCGCGAGGCTTAACATAGAGAAGCTTGTAATGGAAGCAAAGGCCATCGATTGGTCGCCTGTATATGATGCGTCCTGAGTGAATGATATGGTCACCGCCTTCAATGCTGCGGTTATTGAATTGTTTGATCACCATGCACCAATTAAAGCAGTCAAGCTGAGGCGACCACCTGCTCCTTAGATAACTCCTTTGGTGCGCATTGCTATGCGTAGAAGGGACAAGGCCTTTCGTATTTTTAAAAGATGCCGCACAGATATCAATTGGATGGCCTTCAAGAGTGCAAGAAACCGCTGCAATCAGATGATAAGAGGTGCTAAACGACGTTATATACATCAGAATGTTATGGACTCATCTCCAGCCGAAATGTGGAGTTTCTTAACTCAATTGGTATTGGCAAAACTCGATCCCAATTCAGTGTTCCTTTTTCTTCAAACGAATTCAACCGTCATTTTTCTTTTGTACGCAAAATTCCTGACACTGTCATTTTCTCCTGTAGCCCACTCACAGAGGATGATATTAGAAAGTTAGCAGTTTCTATCAAGTCCAAGGCTGTAGGATTTGATAATATCAACAGAAGCATGCCTATCTTATTATTGGACCCTCTACTTCCTATATTGACCTTTATCATGAACAAATCTCTATCATACGGCTTATTTCCTATTGTGTGGCGAAAGGCTTTCTCTGTCCCTCTTCCCAAAATTTCTAGCCCCAGCTCTCACAGTCACTTTAGATCTATAGCTATTCTACCTTACCTTTCTAAGATTCTCGAAGCTGCTGTCCATAAACAGCTTTCGTCTTATGTCTATCGCAACCAACTTCTTACCCCCTTCCAGTCTGGATTCCGCCCTGGACACAGTATCTCTACGGCGCTTATTAAAATAGTTGAGGACATACGAGATGGCATGGAGGAGTCGCGGTTGACTGTGTTAGTTCTTCTCGATTTTTCTAATGCAGTTGACCACGAC